TTCTAATTTCTTTAAGCTTTTATCAGATAGTTTATAATAATCAATATTACTTGCTAGTTCTTTCTCTTTGATCTTTTTGATAAGCTTAACAAAATTATTCTTTGTCATAGCTTTTAGCCTAGATAGATCAATTGATTTGCAATCATAAAATTACTTGCTAACCCAATCATTGAACAAATATCAATGAACGTCTGGCTACAACCATTATATTTTTGATTATTGCTAGTTTGCTTTTATGGTAAATTGTAGATAATTCTAATAATATTTTATTTACACGGCTTGCAATCCTTTTACCTTTAGCAAATTCACAATTCCAGTTATTTACTTCTGGGTTTACTTCTTGTCTCTCTTTTCAGTATCTTTATCGATCACGGTAATGTAGTCAGAAACAAAAAATTAATTAGATTTCTTTAGTTCCTTTATTCTTTTCGTTAGCTTAAAAGAGATATACACTAATTCATAAAGAGAATAGATACATAAAGCTCTTGAATATTAATAATCATTTTCATTATTTTTGATTTTTTTCTAAATAGTTTTAATTTGACTTTCGATATCGTCTCCCTTCTCAATTTCTATAGGTAGTGGTAAAGAATGTGAAAATTCAATCCACTTGTTGAATATTTTTCTAAAAATTTTGATTATTATTTTATTTTTTGGTATATTATTTTGGATAATGATTGGTATTAGATTTTCATTAATTTGGATATCAGTATATTTTTTTACTCTGTTCTGCTAGATTTTTAAATCCTATTAGTATTAAATATAGATCAAGCTAACATATTCATGTATAATTCTTATCTGATCAAGCTTTTTAGTAAATAAATAAATATATTTTAGATAATAAACTATCAGAATTAAAGCTTATAATTATGTTTATATTATATTCAGATTATAGTAAAAATATTCTAATATTTAGTTTTAGGTGTAGTATTATACTAATATAAAAAGTATAACTTGCACATCTAAAACTATATTAGTATACTTTTACTATAAGTAGAAATATAATACATATAAAATTAAACAGATCTCTTATTAAAGCTTTTCATATTTGTAAAAATTGACTATCTTCATTTGAAGTATTATCTTCTTCAATTAAACCTTCAACTTGATTTACTGAGTGAGAAAAAGTTGGATTTCGAGAAATTGAACTTTGAAAGCTATTGAGTTGTATGAATGATTCCTTTGTAATTTGATAAATTTTAGTGGCAATTGTAAATTTATTTTTAATTTGTAGAAATTTGATTATTATAAATACTTATTTGAATATTAGTATCTGTTTGGGTTGCTCGTATATTCTCTGTTTCATCTATTTGCTTTTTAAAATAACAAAATAAATAATATAGACTAGTAAATTTTGCTATCACACTAGAGTTTACCTATACATTACTAAAGCGTTCATCCTCTTCTATAACAACAATTGAAGAAGGAAAATTAATGCTTTCTACTCTATTTTCAATTGAGCTATTATTATTCAAAGTTGATTTTTCTATAATTTTTATATATTATTATAAATAAAAAATTTATTTATATAGTATTAATATACATAAATTAGCCAAAATGATAATACATACCCAAAGGATTTGATAAAGTCTTACTTTTTTTAATAGGACTCATTGCCTTTTTCTTTAAAAATTTTCTTATGTTTTGACTGTTTTCATTGTCAGAATCCAAAGTATTCTGTTGTGCCTTATATTTTTTAGCATTTTTTGATTTCAATCTTTTATTTATTTTTTTTTTTATGCTTATTTCATGCATTTTACGTTTTGATTTCTTTAAATTCTCATTTTCACACTTTTTACAATACCATTTTCTAGGAGGAATTCTTGTAAGTAGAGAGTTTAAACATCTAGTATGAAAATTTTTGCCACAAAGACCATCACACAAGAGGATGTGGTCTCTGTCACCTTTCCATTTACATACAGAACAATCACAATATTCACATAATTCCTTTTTATTTCTATAGCACTTTTCATATTCTGACCATTCCTATCAAGTTTTATTAAATTAATAATTTTAATTTATTAATTGACTAGTTGAAAATTCTTATATGATCATTATTTTGAATAGATTTAATATTATTAGCTTGTGTACAATTGTTTGCTAAGTTCGTTTGTTCAAGCATTCTGAAGACAACACACAGATCTCTGGTCATAGATTTTTTATTATTTTCAGGCTCATAATTGATATTTTCTCTTTGCTAAAGTTTTAATAAGATTAAATTATATTTTTAATTTAATATAGATTAAAACTTTGTTACCTGGTCCTGATATTTCGATGTGTTTTTCATTAATTAGGCAAAAGAAAAAATATCAGAAATCAAGACCCAAATTAGCAAATAACTATAAAACAATAAAATTCTTACTTTATCTTTCACAATTTTTTTAAACTTTTAAAAATTTTATTTATCGATTGAGCAGCTTTACAACAGTTTTATCAGTAATTTTGTGATCTGAATTAAATGTATTATTTTCATTGGTTTGAACATTATGCATTAATTTATCTTGTTCTTCTACTTGTAAGGATTCATCATAATCTTGAATTCTCTAAGTTTTCATTTTGTAAGTATTAAAAACATCGATCAATTATAAAGATCTATTAATACTTACTTTAATTAAAACAGGTTCTTCAGGTTTTTTTCTAGTAAACTTAGTTATTATCTTTCTAAAGGTTTCTTCATTCATAAGAATTACTCCTGGAGTATTCAAATTTACGGTAGTATTAGTGCTATTATTAAAGGCAATTGTTGCTGATCATAATTGATCATTAAAACTAATAGAAACAACTTTTCTATCTGATGCTTTCCAAATTAAATTGATTAAAACTTTTATAATTTCTTTTTTATTTTTTATAGTTTCAAACATTGTTTTTTTAACAATAAAGAGAGTTGATTTTTTTGAATAAAATAAAAAGAAAAAAATTCTAGTACAATTATTTATATTTTATTATAATTTGACTAAAGTTTTTTTGATTAAAAATTTAATAATTATGATGTCAATTGATGACCCTTGATAATTTCTTATTATGTTATTAATATTTTTTGTCATATATTAGAAATCTAATATATTACATAATAGTGGAGATAATGACTTATTTTTAAAATATGTTGATTAAAAAATTTTTTTTTTCAAGAGGTGAATAAAAAGGTGATTTAATACATAACTCAAAAACTTTTAAAAATATATTGTTATATCATTATACTGATACAAAGGTGAATGAATGTGTTTTTTTATCTTTTTTTTTGAGCTAATTTAGCTTAGCTAATTTTGATTTTTTTGATTTTTTTTTGGTATTAAGGTGAGGCCTTGCTCGTATCTTTATTAGTAATTTAAAGATAGTAACTACATAGTGACTATATAGAAATACTACTATTTGTACAAGTACAAATAAAAATAAAAAAATTACATGCAAGAATAAGAGCTTAGACATATTTATCTGTAACCTAAACCTACTAGAGTGGTCAAAGACTCACCTAGATTCTTATT